CCTCTGTACTGCACGGCGTTGCGCTCTGAAGGTGTCCTTGTTAAAGCCGGGTTCTTGTTCCTGTATTAAACTGTCTTCCTAACTACCATCCAGATCTTTTCATTTTAACTTCATAATACGTGCTCTCGCTCCCAAAGGTGTTTTAAAAGTTAGAAAACAACATTTTTGCTCTTTCTGGGGGAGAGCAAGAGATGTTTTTTTCCTCCATACTTCAAACTCCAAGCGTGCTTCCTAGTACTGTGACTCATAAACAGCTCAAAGGTTCATGTTGTTGTGCCAGGTTTAGATTTTAAACAGTGCCTTTTACATGTCTATGTGACTATGTAAATATCTCTAATATTTAAATATACTTTGACATGGGACTAAGCTGCAATACTGCAAAGTGATCCAGAAAGAAGCACAACATTTTTGTCTCAAATTGTGCTAAAGCGAATTCATCAAGGATCAAGTAGTCTATTTTGAGCAGTATGCTGGAAGATTTTAGGCTTAAAAATTCCACTCTGTACTTCCACTTGGTTAGAATATGAGCTTTTGTAGTCCTCGAAATCAGAGATTCACGTTGCCTGACTCTCTTTGGATCTTAATTTTAGCAAAGTGGAAATTACAGCTTTTTTTTTTTATCTAGATGCATTTTTTCATGAATCTGTATTTTTCTATTAATGGTTTTCTATTAACTGATGTCTGTGGTTTTACAGATGACATGAAATCATTACAACAGAACTATTTCAAAATTAAAGCTTGATTTGCAATCTATTTTTAAAAATGAGAAAATTAATTTTCTCCTTTAATATAGAGTATGCAATACATTTTAAAAAAATTATAAATAAAACAGGATAGTGAAATTACTGACAAAGTTGTGACAGTAATCAACTATAAAAAGAAATACCATGCTTTCAGTCTTTGTGATTTCAGGTATATCTTCCAAATGGCTTGTGGTACAACAGCTAAAACATTTCTGGAAAAGTGAAATTAGCTGAAGTTTTAAAAGTTCAGTTTGAGAAAATATGAAAGCAATGCTCTATGGTATTGAAACCAAAAATTTTCACAAAGTCTTATGAAAGTATTGTGACACTTTAAAAAAGTTCACATAACTAGAAAACATAGCGAACACTGAAGTAAATGTTTTCTGGGGGCATATTTGTGTAACTAAAGGGCAAAAGGTTATATTTGAGGTTGGTTAGAAGTAACTAGTCCTTTTTCATTTTGTTGTTGTTTTTCGTTTTGTTTGTGGGGTTTTTTCCCTAGGCCTTTTGCTTCTGCATTTTAAGAACACAAAATGTCTGAAGTTAAGCAGAGGAAAAAAGGTATTTCTTCATCAAAGACCAATGAAGGTTCACCAAAGGTTGAGAAGCACAGTAACTATGGGAAGCTGGCAAGTCCCAGGACCAGCAATAATCGGAGTTCCTTTTGGATGGACTCACGGACAACTTTGAGTGTAATTTCCCTTGCTGTTTGCCTGGTGCTGACCTGGTAGGTAACCCTCCAAAGTGGATTTTAGTACTTTTGTTTGTATTCTGTACTGTATTCAGTCATGGTACTATGATTAGTTACATTTGAATATAGCATTTGGGTTAAGTGACTATAGAAACGTGTTAAAGCTAGAAGGATCAAGAAAAGAAAAGCAGTATTCGCAAGTATGGAAACATTGTTATACAGTGAGGGATTATAGAAGCTTGATCTGTTCTTTCGTGTTGAAAGTTTAAAATGCTCATGAATTGTAAATACCTGCTTTGGAGACTACATCTAGCTGTGAAGAGGAACTTAATATGACAATGAGTAGTACAACAAGGCTCATTTGGCAGGTAAATAATTCAACAGGAGAAGTGGAGTTTTTCTGTAAATAATTTGCTCAGCAGTGTGCTAAATTGTTCATCAGGTGGAGTCTTCAAGTAAAGGTCAAACATCTTTGTAAAATACGTTTTAGAATATCTTAGCGGCATCAGAACCTTAGTTCCATCATTAAATTCTCAGAACTCTAGTGCAAGAAATTAGTCCAGATTATTACACTCTAAATGTCAATCTGAAAATTTAGGTAAAATTTGTTCTCATTTTAATATTGTCCAGATTTCATTATCTAAATCTTTGAGAAACATAACAACATAGTAGAATAAAATGATTAGTGATGCTTCTGCTTACTGTTTGATGTATATCTGTTTATGTCTGGTTTGCATTTATCTCTCTGTAGCTAGCATTTTAGCTTTTATTGCCTAAGTTAATTTGTATAGACTGTTGTAGATGTTTTGAAACTTATAATTGCTATGCAATATACTAATATCAATTTATGAAAGCACAAGTATTTTAAATAAACTCTATTGTTCTAGATAAAATTGTTCTTGCTACTGAGAATAGACCCCTGCAGAGTCTACAATAAACTTTGTTTTGGGATTAATAAACATCCAGCAAAATTCAGGGGTTTTTTTTGCTTGGTTTTCTCATTTCTGTTTTAACTGGACAAAGTGCTTACAGTTCAGAAAGTTCCCAAGTTCACAGTAAATGAATCTTGTATGTATATAAAGCACAGGACTGAGATCTGTACTGTTCAAAGCTAGCATCATCATAATAGTAACTACACAAGCTTTACCATGATGCACCATATGTTCTTGAATGGTTACAATTAAACATTAGAGTTAACTAGCCTTTCTAAATCCAAAGACTTCTATGTATATCTTAATGCTTTACAAGAAAGTCCGAATTATTTTTTGTGTTTTATTTCCACCTGTTAAATAATTTTATCAATAAAATATAGTGCCTTACCTGTGAAGCAATGCATTGCAAGCATGCAATGGCTTCCCTATGTCAGTAGTCTTATCGGACATTTTTCCTGTTTGAATGGCATACTGTGTAAGAATAAAGCACATCTCTGGATGTTTCCTTATTTTCCCACCTCTATTGAATATAACTCCCGTATGAAGACAATAGATCAACTTCATTAAACCCTAATATTTCTTTTCTTTCATATATTGAGCTAGCAAATTCTGTGAGCATAAAGCCCTGCAGTAACAGATTGCTGTGTATTGGGTCCTGGAACACTTAATATTTGCTAGTTATGTAATTACATTTACTGTTTATTTATTTGCAATTTGCAGGTTCCTATTTTGTCAGTCAAGTCAATTTGCTGATATGGAAAAAAAGTACAATTTCTTACAGCAAGAAGCTGAAAAATTCCTGGATGTTGAAAATAAAGTTAACTTAATTTCTGAAAAGGTAATCATTAGCATCTTAATGCAATAATCTCTGGTGAACATTTGTCATTGGTTTACTTTGTTGTCATTTAGCTAAATTTATCTCACAGTTTTAAAATAAATTTTTATAACATGTTCTACTTGCCTGTGAATAGGCCTTTGGAGAATATTTCATGTGACTAAACATGTCAATCCATGCCATTGTTCAAGTACGTGAATATAGTGGTTATATCTCAGTATTATTTTTAGACACTAAACTATTTTTTAAAACTTACATTTATGCACATACTTCATTTTAACAGTACTGTTCTGTGTATAATACGTTGATTTGAAGAAAATTCACAGGTGTTTTTATGTAGGAAACCCACTCTAATAATATGAAAGACGTAATGAAGTGATAGTAATATTTTTTCATTGCTATTTTATTTTCTTATCTATGTGTGACACTGTCAAGTAGAACTTGGACTGGCTGCCAAATTATTCCCTGTATCTTAGAGATAATGATGGGAGTATGGCATGGCTTATGCCTGTGATGTTGTTTTAGCACTGATCTCATAATGATGTAATTTATGCATGGTGTAATTTGGATATTTATATACCATACTTCAGATTGCAAAATGTTGCATGGGATCTAGGTAGCATGATACATTATAAAAAAAAAAAAAAAAACAAACCACAAAACAAATCCCAACCCAACCCCACCATAGAAAATAGGGGATTGACAACAAAGAAAATAGCATGTATTCTGTAGAAATTCAACAACAAACATACCCTTTTCTATGACTTTTTCATGCTAGGTTGATCAACAGTATTTTAAAGATGAAATATGAAAACAAATCATATAGGAGCTTTGTAACAAATAAAATGGCTTCTGAGGGACTTTATTTAACATAGAATAAATGCAAATAGTTTTCTATTCTTACTTTCTTTAAGTAGACATGGATATTGTTTTGTGTTATAAATGCAGCTTGAGTCTTCTGAAAGTATCCTACGAGAAGCTTCCTCATCCATCTCTGTGATGACTGAGTTTGAGCAGGAAGTATCTTCTCTTCATAACATCATAAATGATATTCAGAACAATGAACAGATTCTCTCTAGAAAGATGGAGAGCATTAATGAGAAGTTCCAAAATGTTACAAATTCCTGGAGAAGAAACTTGGAGGAAATGAACACAAACACTAGTGGTTTAAAATCTGAAGTGAAGTTCATACATACAGAAGTTACTTCCCAAATTAATGAAGTTGACCAAAGAATTAAATCCCTTTCAGAAAAAGTAAAAGATTTGGAAGACAGTACAGCCAGAAATATTAAAACGCTAAAAAAGCAAGAAGATGATGAATTCTCTAGAGTTGAACAAAAACTGGACTTACATGCAAAAGCAGTTGAAAAGCTAGAAGAACAGCAGAATAGTCTGGTAGCCAAGGACACAGACCTGAATCAGAAACTTGTGAACTGTGAACCTAAAATTGAGGAGTGCAAGACCCATTTGCCAACAATTGAAAATGCTATTCACTCTATTCTTAGATTATCAAGTGAATTGCTAAGCATGGAGAAAAAGATAGAGGACTTGACAACACAGCTATATACTGTGGAAAATGATATGTTGAAAACTGCTTCTGATGCAATGGCAATGCAAAAGGTTCTTGAAGGCATACAACACAATGACAGCATATTGAAAGTGCAAAATGAAATAGTGGTTTTAAAAGAAGTAGTGCATGACATAAAAGTATCTTCAAAAGTAGAAGAAATAACTTTAGAAAGCTATAACTTAGAAAATGACCAGAATGGGGATAAGTGAATTTGGACTTAGGGTTTTCACTGATGAAAGAGCACTTTAATTTATTATAAATAACGTGACTCCAACATATGTTGATGGTGGCTGAAATACTGCCATCAATTTAAATAGGCATTGGATCAGACTGAAAGGCAAAATAATAAAGAGGTTAGAGAGCAAGAAATACTCCTCCTTGTGTTGGAGGAGGAAAGGAGTATTTTCTTAAATAAATTAAAGATTATTTTCAGCTTATTTATTAAAAAATCATTTTTATTAAAATGAAATTTGAAGCAAAGTATTTAGATTTAAGAAAAAACCTTGGAGATGTTAGATTAAAATTTGCATTTCATTCTCACTACCTTGGTTTTTACATTTTTCCTTTTTGTATTATGTTCTATGGACTTGTAACACAATGAACAATTAAGTTCATATCTCTAGGCAGATATGCATGTACCTAGCTTTTAACATATTATATACCATAATGGTTTTGTGCTTACGGTACAGACTTCTCAATGTCAGAGTTGTTACTGGGATCTACATATTGTATTATGTGCGGGAAAGCACTAAGTACATTTTTAAAAGCTGAAGCTTATATACAACAGCATTACAGAAAACACTAGTAAAGTACTCTTTACTGAGAGCCTTCTCTTGTACTGGTATTCATAGCAGCTGGTATTATCTTTTATTTCTTGGACCCCATGCAAGTGGCCTCCTTAAACCTCATTCCCAGCTTTTTCAAACTTTCTAAAGTCACTGGCATAGTTTTGTTCTGAAGTCATTGGACTACATACTGAAGTTCTTATTAACAGACATTCTGGTTATATTCTTCCATCATTTAATTTGCAAGTTTGGTGTGATCAGTCATACTATTAGTTTGGGGGTTTGTTTGTTATGGTGCTGTTAGAAACAAGTTTTACCCTTTTCTTTTGTAGAATGTTCTCTGTTAGGCATTGCATGATTTGTCTGGTATTGCATTTCCAAGGGGAAAAAACTTAACAGTGTCACTGACATTGTTTCCCAAAGCCTGGTGGACCAAGAGCTGCAAAAGCAATTAATGAAAGCCAGGGAGTTATGTACTTGGAGACACGGAATAGCTAATTTATCTGTAGGTCTAATAGATCTACTTACACAGGATGCAGTACTACCTAATATGCCTGATAGCTGTTCATTGAAATTTGGATCTCAGGACCATCAGAAATTTGTCTCTACAGACTTATATCTTGGTAATTTCCAATTCCTGAACTCAGGAAAAGAGATTGCTTAGCAGACAGTATGAACCCCTAACATTTATGACTTAATCAGGTTTAAGTTAAATTATTCTGGTTTTCATTTATCTAGAACTCTACTGAAATCTTGACTACAGTTAATGCTGCCCATTCAAGAGACTATTAAACCAGCATTTCTCAATGTTATAGAGTCTTTCAGTTTCATATATTTGTTATTTATGTATAGATTTGTATCTGTTTATATTCAATAAAATATATTGCAGTGGATTGCCCTGTCCTGGTGCATAATCTAATTCAAAGTAAATTGCTCTTCCAGAAGAGAGTATGGAATAAATACTGTAGTGTTCAGTCATCCATTACAAAATACTGCTCTATATGGAAATGTTTTTAAATTCTTTTCCCAAGTGTGTTTCTACTTCATGTATGTTTGAGGAAGGGTGGCTGAATTACCAGTGGTACGCTCCCCAGTTTAATGTCTTTCATCAGCCCCAACCCTACTGAAAGCTGAATGTACATGAGATTGAGCAGGACAGCCTCATCCTTAGAGGGTATTACCTAGGAAACCAGCACAACTCTCCATAACCTAAATTTTGGTATTTTGGTTTTTAGCAAATGGTTCTGTGCTAGTGAGGAATGACTGTTGCTATCAAAAAGTTTACAATATTTATTTCTTTGGTGATATTTTGACTACTCGTGTCAAGAAAAGGATTAGTCACTTAAAACTAATGATAGCCTCTTAGAATGTGTTTCAGCTTGCCCGTTTTTTTTTTTTTTCTCTCCAAGTTCTACACTGACTTACTGGGGATTGAACAGAATAGTATCACTCAAGTATCTTCCTTTCCTCCTCTCAAATTTGAAAACCAAGAACCACTGATTTAAAAAAAGTGAACTAGCAAATTCAGCCAAAAATCCAACAGTAGCATGAGTGTTCCCTCATTGACGTAGCTTTTATGCTTTAAGTGATGTTTTTCCTGTGAAGTATTTTGGGGGCTATTTAAACAAAAGGGAACCATGCCTTATTGCTTTGGCTTTTTCTTCTGTGAACACCATGTTCAAAATACATATTATGATTACCAAAATAAAAACACATCAGTTAATTACGGTCCATGATTTTGGGGTAAGAGAATTTTAAAGTAGGCATCTTTCTGAATTATGCAGGTTATAGGCTTAATACAAAAATTTCCGTAAATCAGAAGATTGCATTTGATGACTTGTGTTTTCAGAGGTCATGCTGGAAAGTCATCTAGTACCTTTCTGTAATTTTTGTTATAATAGAAAAAGTAGTAACATTTGAATTCATTAAGTATACTGAAAGGTAAAAAATTAATTTTTTGGTTGTATTGTGACAGAAGTTTATTTCCTAAAGGCAGGTTTTGCACTGAATTTCAATACCAGAATAGTAAGATATTTTATTAGAGTATAGCTTTAATTTTGATGTGAGTTGTTAAGCTAGAAATCTTGTCAAATATTTTTATTTGTATCCTTCTAGTGTGAAAAGCCTTGGAACTTAATGGAAGAGCTGGAAGATCTTCAAATAATTTCTCACATTAAACATCTGCAGGAAGATATTTATACAATGAAAACATGGTCTAGCAGCGTAATTAAAAAACAAGAAGAACTGCAGAAGAATTTAACAACCCTTTTTCATGCAGTTTCAAGTGTTGAACAGAATGCAGCTTCTGTAGCAAAAAACATAACTTTGACAATTGTGACAGTAAAAACTGACATAAGGCGGATTTCAGGCCTAGTCTCAGATATGACTGCACTGACAGATTCTTTGCAAACACTAGAAGATAAAGTAGAAAAAGGTGAAAAGAAGACAGTAAAGAATATAGGTGACCTGCTTACCAGTAGCATCGACCGAAGTACAGAGCTACAAAGCTTGGCATCCAGTAATGCAAGAAGAATTGAGCAAATTGAGGCAGCGTTATCCGAGTTAAGGAGTGATTTTAACAAGCATTCGGACAGACTTTTGAATCTTGAAGGTGAGAGAGCAAAAGTTCTGAAGACAGTTACATTTGCAAATGATTTAAAACCCAAGATGTACAAACTGAAAAAGGATTTTGCCATCTTGGAGCCATTAATAAGTGACCTAACACTGAGAATAGGAAGATTAGTGGAGGATGTATTACGACGGGAGAAGGAAATGGTTTTACTGAATGAGAAATTGGCCAATCTAACGAGTTCAAACTGAGATCAAAGATATGAAAGATGAAATAACCAAGATTTCAGACATGAACTGAACACTGTGAAATACCACTGCCTAAAGAATGGTAGTGTTTGAGGAGTGGTAACTCCAGTACTAAAAAGAAAGACAATATTTAAAGGCTTCATTTAGAAGCACACTGAAACTTAACTAGAGATTTGTCCTCTTCCTTTGAAAAGGACAGAAAAAAGTCATACTGATTTCAAGGGACAAGCTGTAATGTGAGCAAAAAACATGTCATTCTGCATCTGTCTTTCTGAAGGATGACATGCTATATTTAATAAATTGCTTGTTTTGTACAATAAAAGAGTGTTAAAGCATAAAACGTTGTTCTTCAGAGTTTGCTTTCATAAAGAAAGCAGGAGCCAACACTGACAGACCCTTCAGGTTTCCTTTCCTGCTCCGAAGGAAGGAATAAAATTGTGGTTTCCAGATAAGAGTTAAAAGAGTTAGTCAAACTGCAGTAGCAATTTAGTATTTGTCTCAATATATTCACTCTATGAATGTTGTAAACTATACCACTTTCCTTTTTTAAAATAATATTTAAAGAGGTAAATGCAGTGAAGCAAGCAATGCCCAGAAATCCTCCTGATGCCTTGCAAAAAGTTTGTCACACATTTAGATGGAATAATTTGTGTAAGATTTTGTGTGAGGCTTTGTAATTGTAAATCATAATTGCCGTGCAGCACTGTTACGTTTTAAAACACAGAATATATGGGGACAACGTTTTGAAAGACCTACTAACCCCACAGATGGCTTTCTCCCCCTGTCATGGTATCTGTTCAGGAATCCTACCAGTGTTACTCGTTTATTGTTTCTTAGCCTGTAAAACACTATAGTAAGCTGCAGAATTAGCAAAGAGAAGCTGCTCGGGTCCCAAAAGGTTAGACTGATAGGAGCCATTGGCAGTATTTCTGTGGTGAAGAGCAAGAGTTTAAGAGATCTGAGACATTTGAAAATGCAGTAGGTGGTGCACTGAAGTAACAAGATCATGGAAGTGGGTTTAGCAGAGAAAGAGGGAAAAGTGCATTAATAGGAGTAAAAATAATTATAAAAGCCAATTAGGAGAGATACAGCAATTAAGAAAATCCCTATAAATTGTTACATCAAGAAGTATAGGCATACAGTAAGGCCTTTGTAACTTCTCAATTGTTTAGTTAGTCATACCGGAATACCTTACAGCCTCTGGACTCTTGATTGTACAGATGTGACCATTCCCCTCCCTTGCTATTCCCATCCTCATTCAGCATTCCATATCTTTTGGCCTGCTTCCCATTGTTGCTCTTCCATACCTCCCTTGCTTTGTTGTCCTCAGCCAACATGAAATGCTTTGTTTCATCAAGTTTTCCTCTTTTTGGTATGGGTCCATTCCTACCTCTGATTTTCTTTTGCCGCCTTCCAGTCCACCTGACAACCCACAAGGACAAACTTGACAAAAGACAAGTTTTCCTAGAAAGCATCCACAGATACTGATACCAACCGGCGTCCCTTTGCTCTTGTCACACAATTCTTAAGCCAGCCCCCGGAAATAACCAAATGGCATTTGAAGGAGTCAAAAATTAAAGAACATCCAGAATGATCAGCCATGCTAAAGTGTGGGTTGTGTATCATACATGAATATATATACATACACACACACACCCCTCCCATAAGTTTGGGATTTACATAATAAATACATCTCATTTGTATGTTAATGCCTGGATTTCACCAAATCCACCACTCCTCTTGCGCATGCAAGCTCATGTTGGTCCCGCCAAGGACAGTGCTTGGCACAACAGATGTGGCTCCCAAAAGAACACTGATACAGCTGTGTGAGACATCGATCCTCTGCATCTCACTATGGCCCACATGATGCAGTTAACAGTTACCAGTGGATTAATTGCATCATGGGCTATAGTAATTTTATTTATTTTGTTTTCAACTTCGTGAATGAACCATTTGTGGTCAGTAGCTAGTGAAAATCGTGAGAGGCAGAACTAGAGTACCAGTAGAGCACTACTAAATATTTTTGGCCCAAAATATGCTAATAGCTAGGCTTTTCTCACGCAAATACAAACTGCTTACAATGAATAAATTTGCCTTCCACTGTAGAAAGAAACTGAGACTTTGGATTTAAAATGAGGAGCTATGCAAGCATCATGACAAGTTATGAAAAGAGGAGTTAAGGTAATCCCAATGTATCACGAGGATATCAGATTGTGACTAACGTGAAGTTTACTTATCTCAGCAAAATCGCCATACGTGGTTTAATCTACACAAGTGAAGTAGAAAATATGCTCCAGCTGCACGGTTAATCGTAGTCTTGACACAGCAAAAAGGTCTTTCTGGATGAAAAGTGCACACACACTTTTTGGAGCAGTAACCAGAAAATAAGATGCAACAACTGGTTTCACTTGCAACCTCCAAATTAATAGCCTCCAAATCTTAGAACGCATCTACCAGTGAAAAGCCAAGTATAGAGTCCTGTTCATGGTCTCGCTGGGTAGTTAAGTACGCAAAACATGTTACAGAACCATTAATTTATCTATAGATGTATGCAGACCACCTACCCTTCCTTCCCAGGTAGTGCAGGTCCAAAGCATGATGATCCTTACAGAAACTTTGTTGCTACGAGCAAGAGAAAAAGTTTTAAGTCACAGAGGTAAAGTTTACTTGGAAAAGAAAACCCACCCTGGGTCTAAAATTTAAACGCGCACTATAGTGTCCTCAGAATTAAAGCGAGTAATTCTCCCATAATCTGCACAGACATTACAAATCTTCATAGGCCCTTCAAGCACACACCTCCACAACCAAAGTCTTAGAGTAGCCTGGTAATTACAGCAGCATAAGGACAGAGGTAAAGCTCTTTCTACAGTGGAAAAGATGAGGCAGAGTGAGAGGTATTTTTCATAAATTTAACCTCCCACTAACCTCCCCTCCTCAGTTGAGTACTGTCAGCCGTCTGGTGAGCATCAGCTCGTAAAACTACAACTCCTCACTTAGTTCATTGCTAGGGGCACTCAGTGATACTCTCAACAATTTTATTCAGTTATTGAGATATTGAGGTAATAAAGAAAATGACAGCTGTGCTACTTGAAACAGATCATCCCATGCAGCCCAACCTGTAGTGATGCTCAGCACATCTTTGCTTTTAACTTAGTACACAGGTATAGAACTGGCCAATTATACTCTTGCCAGCAATTCAAAAGGGGAAAAAAAAAAAAAAGCCAAAAAGAAAAAAACCCCAAACCAAAACCCCAACAGCATTAAGTGATCAGTGCTGAAAAATGACACAACCAAAGTAATCCCAACATGTTAAAATCTGCTTTTAGACACCAGAACATCAGTTCAGTCAAGAAGCTTCTGCTAGTGACATCCCTCTCCCACAACACTCGGAGTTAAGAAATCATATTCTGTAACAATTCCATGGAGCTACTAAGCTCAGCTATCCAAGGTACTCCTATTTGCTATAAAAAAAGCAGGATGTTTATTGTTTTCACTGTGAACTACATAATTTCTGTGTAGAAATGTAAATGAATTACAACTATTTGTATTATTACAGCCCATTTTAAAATGATATGCAACCAACATGTCAGCAAGTATCACCACAACCTGTAGTACAACCTGATACAGGGTGTGAATGGAGTTGTTATTCCAAATTTATATAGACAGGATACTTTAAACCAGAATGCTGATCTCAGCTCCGGTAATAGCAAGAAAAGCTGTTTTCTCCTTCGTAAAACAATGTACACAAGCAGCATATACCCAATCCGTGTTTTACAAAGCACTTTCGGGTTTAGCGACTGGTCTGGAGTTATCCAAGTTATACATGGTTCCTTTGATATAGGACTTTCCTTACAATGAACACACATGTCCATCTAAAGCACTGCGGCTCCCCTGCCCCATCATCTCAACTTTGGGAAAACATACCACACATTACGCTATAATGCAGTTATCAATGACAAGGTTGACCTTTCAAATGCATTTGAATACTACAGTTTTCCCACTGAAGTTTATTTAAAATATCAGTGGGTGACCCTATAAGGAACAGCATTTTCTGTGTTAAACCCCTTCATCTCAAGCACCCGAAGCCTATGGCTGAATGTCAATGAAGTCAGCAGCTGCAAGGCAGCGCTCCCCCCTCTCACGTTTTCCACTGAAACATAACACTAGGAGTAGCATGAAGTATATTTTCCCTTTCACAGTTACAGAAGAACAGCTAGCTGCCCCTTGTAGTCTTATCTCAGATTTACCTTGATAAAATTATCTGAGCATCTTTAAACAGGTAAGCTTCAGGTGTACCCTTAAGCAGTGAGAAAATGGATTTAAGATTCTCTTACTACTGCACATATTTAAAATGGCCACACAAAGGTGACCCAACTCTAGAGAAAAATGGCATGATTTTGCTCCACAAGGAGAATTACAAGAAACAGTCTTGAGAAATTTAGCTTATCATTGGATTACCTGACAGCCAGACTACCTCACTGCATGAGCCAAATTTGTCTCACTCTTGTCAAATTTTAAGGCTGGCAGAACAGTGCTCCACTTTCCCAGGATTAGACAGAATTTGAGATGTTTTCTAGCAAACAAAGAAAAGTCTACTCAGTTAAAAACACACCTTTAAAGAACCTATGATAATCAGTACACAAAAGTGATACTGTTTTTCCTAGCAAGTTGAATGGCATACAAAAGTTAACTTCAAAAGCTAATTTAATATCAACGGTCTTGATAAAAGATCAAGTCATCATTAATGCTCTCCTCCAAGGAAGCTCTTAGGAGCATTTAATGATTCATTAAATAATTTCAAAGCTTCCCACTCACAATGGGGCAACAAGATGTACGTACTTATATCATGAAATATATTTAATTCAACACCAAAGTACTAGTACAAATATTTTATTTAGACTTATGGAATTTGACTTTGCTGTATAATGCAGTCAGATACCAACCACTTTAAGAATGTGTTTACTGTCATGATGACAGGGAAATAGAGCAGTTTTAAATTTTACTCCATGTTTTGAAAGGTAGCAATTCAAAATAAGGCTCAGCTTGCTTGTTTAGTATAACCATCCAAAATCTTGGAAGTTGGAGGGTTTTCCCAGGGGGCAAGAAGCTCAAAACTATGTAAAATGGCAGCAGGAACATGACTCC